TGTCCCGCTTCTCCCCCCTCCCTCCCAGCGCTTGCAGCGTGAAACAGCTGTTTCACGGCGGCAAGCGCTGGGGGGGGGGGGGGAGAAGCGGGACACGGCACACTCAGGGGAGCAGGCAGAGGTGAGCTGGGGTGGGGAGCTGCCAGTGGGTGCAGAGCACCCACCAATTTTTCCCCGTGGGTGCTCCAGCCCCGGCGCACCAACGGAGTCGGCACCTATGGAACCAGACTTAAACCATCATTTTTCCTCTTCCTCAGTGAACCTGAATCGAACTCAGGGAAAAATGGCTTCCAGTTAAAATGAAGTTTCAGCAATTTTTCAGCTCAACATATGACAAAATAAAATAAAACCTACTCTGATCTCATTCATTATAAAACAAGACAACAAAACAACCCCCAGGCATGTGATCGATACCGGAACAGCCTGTCCGGCAGAAAAAGAGAAGGGGGCAGCCCACAGGAGCAGGGAGGAAGGGGAGAGAAGTGGGGACTCCCTGTCCCAGAAGTTAACATTAACTCTTCAAGGCCAAGGAAAAAGGCTGCTCAATTCTTCTTCCCCTTAGACAGGCCTCCTCTCACCCGTCCCCACCCCTTGGGGCAGCTCCTCCCTCCAACTGTCACAACCTGAGGCAGGCCCCATGCCCCAAATTCAGTTCCCCACTGAAGCAAGCCACAGGGCTCACTCCCAACTCCCTCCCCCCTTCTGGGGCACTGCCTGGTAACTGAACTATTTTGGGTCATCTTGAACCAGAACCGAACACACTGACTGCCACTGATCCAAACCAAACCCCAATTCCACTCCTTTCGGCTCGCAGTGACTCTGGTTGGACACCGAATCCTGCACAGAAATCAGACCAGCCCCTGTTCAGTCCTGTCAACCCAGGAGTCAGACCCCCCCACCCAAATAATGAGATTGCCTTTAAACACAAATATGAAATTGGGAGCTGGCTGTGTTGGGGGAGGGGTTCTGGGTGGACATTTGCCTTTGTAAATTCTCAGCCCTTCCGGGGAAGTCTCCTGTCCGCCCCCAATTCCTAGGTCACCTTTCAAAAAAGGCAAAAGCAGGAGGCAGGACCCATGCAGGAGGCCCGCCCCCT